AACCACACTGTCACCTTGATCTTGGACTTCTAGCCTCCAGAACTGTGCAAAAATAAATTTCTGTTATTTAGGCCACCCAGTCTATGGTATTTTGTTATGACAGCCTGAGCTAAGACAGTCCTAGTCACAGAAGCCTTCCTTGAAGTATCATAGAGAGTCATTACATCTGTGACGTGAAAGAAAATCCACCGTCTATTCTGATCTAGGACATTCCAGTATACACCATACTTTTCAGATGACATGAACAAAATCCCCAAAGTCTCAAGTTTTGAAGCAACAATAATTGTCACCATTCAAATTCATACTTACCTCCCTCAGCACGGTTTAAAAACCTACATCAAATAAAACGAATGGCCCTTCAAAGCCCCGATAGTCGACTTAGAGCCCAGGTGCCGTTGGAGGGCCTGGGCAAGGTGCAGGAAGGTGTGTGAAGCTACAACTCTTCTCTGAGGGTCAATTTGACCAAAAATTATTAGGGACATCTACTTAAAAAACGTGAAAACAACATGTGAACATTGTGGAGCAGAAGGTACAAATCTGGGGTGTATTTATGATACAAAGCAAGATTTCTAAGAAATGTTGGACTTTGGGTGGGCTGCATCTGACTACAGCTCAAAGCCCTCACTCCCGAGGTGTGCATCCTCAGAAGGCTGGCATTCAGAGCACTGACACGGGAGGTTCTGAAGGGTCTTCAGTTTGCCTCTTATGAGGGCCTCTTTAAAGACAGTTTTATTCTCATTAGAAATGGGTCAGTGGAGCAGCAGCAGCCCCATTCATTACCTGGTAGAAAGTGGTGAGGTCGAATTCCTCCATGACTCTGTCCACCTCTGAAACTAGGTCCAGGAACTGGGCGTGCCCTGAAGTGACCTCGAGCCCAATAAAGGTCCTGGGGAGAGGAAGACAACACAGGCATGAGATGCAGCCTCTGAGAACACCAGCCATCTGCGCAGCCGAGGAGGAGCCAGGCAGAAAGTCAACAGACCTGGGCCGTGGGTCTCACCCTGTCTCCCTGGTACACTCGCTTTCCTGCTCCATGAGCCAACTCTCTCAGTCCCCACATTCTCTGTCTGTAAACCTTCCTTTCCCAGTTCTCACCCACACAGCTCTCCTCCCTCTCCTGGATCTAGTAACCCTTCCAGGAATGCCTTCACCCACCACTGCCAAGACACAAACCCAGAAGCTTCTGCATCTCCATTCTCCACCATCGTTCCAATTGCAAACGACTCCTGTCCTCAAAGAGGCCTCTTCTCAAGGACTTTGCTTCCTGGCATCTGCCACGCCTCCCACAAGCACTCACATGCTCTCTCTCATCTTTAAAAACTCTCCCCTGAACCCACGGCTTCAGCCAGTCCCCATCCCATTCTCAGTAAAACTTCTCAAAAAGACAATTTGTCCACCATCACTATCTCTTTCTCACCTCCCATCTTCAACCCACTTTGCTGGAAGTGCTCTTGTCAAAGTTGCCAACAACCTCCACGTCACCAAATCCAAGGGACACTTTGCTGTCTGCCTCGTACCTGGACTCTTCCCTCCTTGAAACCCTTTTCTCTCTTGTCTCCTAAGACACCACCTGCCATGCAGTCCTGGTTTAATCCTGCCTCCTGTCTCCCGGTTCAGTGTCCTCTGCCATCCTGTCTCCTCTCCAGCCTCTCCATGGTGAAGATCACTGGATCTCCTCCATTTGCAATCTCCAGGAGGCTGTTCTCACCCAGCCCCGCTTCCCACACTGGCCAACATTTCTATCTCCAGCTGGTCCCTCTCCTGAACACCCAGTTGTATATGTGACATTTCCACCTAGGGGTTCAATAGGCAGCAAAACCTAACAGGTACAAACAAACAGGTACAAAGCAGAACTTTTGATTTTCATCCCACCAGTGTCTCCTATCACAGAAAACAGGGCCAGTTGTTCCAGCCTCAAACCCAGGAATCAATGTTCATCTTCCCCTTGCGTCACATAAATCTAACCCATTGGTAATTTGGTTGCTTTTGCCTCAGTGTATCTCCAGTGTGTCCACCTCTTGGTCTTCCACGGCCATCACCCTAATCTAGACCACTGTCCAGTGGTCCCTCACCTGGACAATGACACTTGGCTCCTCTCTGGTTTCCCTGCATTCACTCTTGCTCCCTTCTATCTTGCCCCCAGACTCCATGGCCACAGACACACCATCTAGCCAGACTGACATCCCCAGATACACATCAGATCATGCCTCTCCTCTGTTCACATCCCTCCAATGGCTCCCATTATACTAAAAATTCAAACTCCTTACTTGACATTGCAGCCCCTGGATGGGCTAACCCTGCCCATCTCATCTCCTATCATTCTCCCACGTGCTCTCTGGGGTTGGCCTCACTGGCCCCCTCAAACACGCTGAAATCTTCCCTGCCTCGGAGTCACTTAGTTTGCTATGTCCTCTGCTTGAAGCTCTTGCAACAGCTCTTCCCAAGACTGGCTTCTCATTCTCAGGTCACCATCAAATGCCATCTCCCTGGCCACTTCCCTGGTACCCTCCTGGACTACCCACTCCTAACCATCATATCACACCACAGTTATTAACAAACACTCTCATTACTTATTATCTGTCTCCCCTCCGAATATGAGATTGAAAAGAGCAGGGCCTGTGTCTACCTCTTCACTGATGAATCCTGAGCATACAGCAAATGCCTGGCACAAGTGGGTGCTTAACAAACTTGTGCAGCATGGAGTAAGTGAACGAATAAATGAGGCCCCTTTCAGAAGTGCTCAGAAAAGGTGGCCCAGTGAGTGTGTCAGACAGGGAGGCTCGCTTTGAAGGCAGGATAATCATTTCTTCTTATGTTCATCTAACACTTCAATACTTTTAACTTTTCAAAGGCCTTGGGGCTCACTTGAGCCTTACAACTGCCCAACAATGGATGTTGGGAGGTGTGTGCCAGTGTGAAAACGAAAGGTCACAGAGATGAAGACATGGACCAAACACCACAACTGGGATGGAGCTGGGCAGAAACAGGTTTTCTGACTTTCACAGGTTTTCACTAAACCAAGATGCTTCTCTCAATCTCTGTGCAACACCCCCACATACTCCTCCAGTCATTATTTATTTATTTATTTATTTATTTATTTATTTATTTATTTTTGAGACAGAGTTTCGCACTTGTCGCCCAGGATAGAGTGCAATGGCATGATCTGAGCTCACTGCAACCTCCACCTCCAGGGTTCAAGAGATTCTCCTGCCTCAGCCTCCCCAGTAGCTGGGATTGCAGGCGCCTGCCACCACACCCAGCTAATTTTTTGTATTTTTAGTAGAGATGGGGTTTTGCCATGTCGGGCAGGCTGGTCTTGAACTCCTGACCTCAGGTAATCTGCCCACCTTGGCCTCTCAAAGTGCTGGGATTACAAGCGTGAGCCACCGCACCTGGCCTTGTTATTTACTTTTTTGAGACAGGGTCTCACTCTGTTGCCCAGGCTGGAGTGCAGTGGTGCAATCGTGGCTCACTGCGGCCTTGACCTCCAGGGCTCAAGCGATCCTCCCATCTCAGCCTCCCAAGTAGCTGAAACTACAGGCACACACCACCACACTCAGCTAATTTTTGTATTTTTCATAGAGACAGTGTTTGGCCATGTTGCCCAGGCTGGTCTGGAACTCCTGAGCTCAAGCTATGCACCTGCTTCAGCCTCCCAAAGTGCTGGAATTACAGGCATGTGCTACTGCACCTGGGATCTCCCAGTTATTTTTCTTAATGAAAGGTTCAGATTTGGGGATAGCTGCCTTTGTAGTCATTGAGTTGGTTAAAAGCAGACAAAAAACGGGACAAATAAGTCCAGAAACAAAGCACTCAATTTTTGCACCAAAGAATCTTCCTCTAATAGTGACTGGGGGTTGGGAAGACGCACCTGGTTTTCTCTTGATTGGTGTAAATCTTTACCTGGTTGGCAGTAAAGAAGAATCTGAAATGTAGAAGACCATATTTCAGGAAAAATCATAAGAGAAAAAGCAGAAAAAATAGCTTATGTTAAAAAAAAAAAAACAGCACTTTGAAAATATAGTTAACTCATTTTGCACTTAATATTATCACCCCATTATGCAGATAGTATACTGAATCCTAAAACATTAGAGCTGGACAAGACCTTGAAATCACCCAGCCCGAGTAACATACAACATCATCCAGGTGCTAGTAAAAATTTTACTTTGTTAATAGCAGTTCATTTCGATAAACAATTTGAGACTATCTCAACTTTACTGATGGGAACTGAGAAAGCCTTATTTATCAAGTAGGTGATAATGGACCATTTAACAGCTGATTCATTTCTTGCAGTTTTTTTAAAAAATAGACAACTCCGATTTCATCTAAGCAATCACGAGAACATTTCTTCGTGTGTCAGGGCTGAGCTCAAGCCTTTGCACACATCCGTTTCTCGAATCCTCACACAACTCTGTGAGCAGGCCTACAATTATGCCCATTTTACAGACAAAGAAACGGAGGCATGGTGAAGCTGAATTTGGTGAGCCAGGATTTGCACAGTCAATCTGCCTGTTTCCAGAGTCCTTGCTGTCACCTATGACCCTTTAGTGAGGGGAAGTAGGTCTCTGTTGGTGTGAAATCGAGACAGATGCCCCCACCCACCCACCCCTCAGATCAATAACACAGAAAGAGTCAGGCTCAGCCAGGTGAGTGCTTTGACTTGGACTGGTTCTGTCCTTTGTTCTCTGAGACACTAGCAATCTCACCATAGAAAGTCCCGTCACAGAAACAGATCATTTTACAGCCCCCAGGCCAAGGGGCTCACCCCCATCTGAGGGAACATAATATACCAGCATGCTAGGGAGAGTCTCACAATCTGCCCAAGGGCAAAAGTCAGTCAGCCAACTCTCCGCCTCTGGGGAAAATGTAAGGGATCACAGAACCACCAGGAGCTCAATTAAGCGCAGCTTTTAGGAAGAGTTCTCAAGGTGTCTCCCAAACATCCTGGAGTGGACATTGGATGTCTGTGCCCAACCAACACCCCTTCTCCTGGTAACCTCCTGTTGCAAGATGGCTCTCCATCCCTACTCCAGAGGCAGGCTGCCCAGGCCTGGCCAAGCAGAGCTTAGCATCTCCTCAGTCACAGCTAACAGAATCAGGGGTGCACCGCCCACTCTTGGTCACCTTAGGCTCAACCAGATGATCAAAGTTGAAGAGACCACACCTGGCCAGGCTTCACTCGTGACACAGAGCAGTGACAGATCCTTTCCTCAGAGGGAACCAGCCCAGGGGTCCGGTCCAGGTGCTGTTTTCTAGTCTCCCAGTGAGCAAGGGAACCAGCCACATATACATCCCACAGGGATCAGAATTTCTTGCAATGGACTTTAGGCAGAATTTTCAGAAGTCCCAGCAAGGGACTTGTGCCCAGTTAAGGAACCACTGTATGCAGGGGAGCCCAGGCCGTGGCGTCCCTGCAGGGGCGCAGTTCACGCGTCTTCCCAGCGCAGGTGCAGTGTGCCAGTCATCAGCACTAGCTCTCCTCCTTCATCCAGGGAAGCTGCTTCTGCAGGATAAGGGAAGCACTCTGTGTGGAAGGGGGAAGGGCCTGTTAACTCTTTACTCCCAAAGAAAGCGCACAGGAGCCGGGTCAGACCAGGCAGTCATTTCTGGGACTTGTGCGGAAGCCAGTCAGAGAGGGAGGCTGTCTTTCCAGGCTGGTACACCATCAGCCCGGAGATGTGGTGGCTTCATCATTGTGACAAAGGAAGGGGACAGAGCTGAGATGGTGACAGTCAGGTGCCATCTGATATCTTGTTACCCCGGTCCATTCATGCATGAGCCAGTGCTACCTCTGAATCTTTTAGTTATACCAGCCTATAAATTTCTCTTTGGTTTAGGCCACTTTGGGTTGGGTTTCTGGTACCTGTGGTTAAGACAGTCCTGATAATATACATACGGCTCAATCCATTTGATAATGACAATCCAAAGAGGGGGAGGGCTGGACTAGGTTGAGAGATAAGTTTGAGTCCTGATTCCCTGGCCAAGTGACCGGATTGGGACAAATCCTGTCCTCCTCTGGCCTTCAGAAGGGGTTCAACTAACTGAGCAGTTTCCCAGCTGGGCAGTGACATCCTATGGAATTCCTGGGCCTATGGTCCCCTGAACTGTGGGAGTAGGGCTTTGGCTAGAAGACTGTTTATTTCTGTTTTACACAGCCACACACCAGGCTTTCGTGCAACACCTCATTTGAAAAAAGGCTCTGCTGATAAAGGCAGGGTCAGAAAACCACCAGCTGGGCGGCTTCTTAGGCTCCTTCTAGTACCAACAGTAGAGGATCCAGAAAGATATTCTCTGGGTTCCCTCATTCCCGCCTCATGACTCCACAAGCATCTATTTGATGTCTCTGTGAGCAGAGCACTAGGGAAAAGCTGTGGGGTAATTGAGAGAGAGGCCACAGTCCTGGCTTGGAGGAACGTGGCTTCCAGGAGGGAAGATGGACACAGGAATGACTGCATATGAGGGTGAGCGAAATGACCACGAGGGGTAAACAACCACAGGACCGACTGATCTCTGGATGGAGGGATTCTGCAGGAGATGCCAACCGGCAGAGCCTCAGTGAAAGAGCAGGATTTTGATCTGGACCAGTCTAGCAGGAGATGCATTTCTGGTAGGAAAAGAGTTATAAAATAACGCAATCGGTAAGGGGGAAAAAAAGCCCCAGGTTGGCAGACAAAATCAGAAGTGGGGTCTGGTACTAAGCCTTCACCCAAGTGGTGTGCTGAGGGCACCCATGATCTCCTTTCACCCCCACCAGCCCCCAGTGAGGTAGCCCCCACCACTACCATGACCTGTTTGACCTATTATTGTAAAATGATAACGTATGTGTTGGTCTCAGCCTCCAGTTCCTGACACAGAGATCCTAAAACCTATGTCATTTCCTAAGCAGTGGGGGTGCTAGGAGCATCTTTTGTTCTATTATCTGGTCTGTGACCCTGGCTCCTGACACAGAACTCCTAAATCTTTTGGAATTTCCTGGGTGACAGGAGCATCTTTGGTTCTGATGAGGCAACTCTCAGTGGCCTCCTGGATGGAGGCCGATCACAGAAAGAGCAAGGCATGATGAGAAGCTGGAAACTTTCAGCCCCACCCCCTATCCTCCTGGGATGGGAGGGAAGCTAGAGACTGAGTTAATAATCCATCATGCCGACATGATGAAGCCTCTGTAAAAATTTGGAACTACAGGGTTTGAGGAGCTTCCCTTGGTGAATAAGAAGGCACCCATGTGCTGGAAGGGTGGCTCACCCCCAACTCCACAGGGTCAGAAGCTCCCATGCTCAGGACCCTTCCAGACCTCACCCTACCTCTCTCTTCATGTGGCTGTTCATGTGTATCCTTTAATACATCCTTTGTAATAAACTGGCAACCTAATAAGTGGACTGTTTGCCTGAATTCTGTGAGCCATTCTAGCAAATGATCAAACCTGAGGAGGGGGTCCATAGAATCTCTGATTTGTAGTGAAATCAGACAGATGTTGTGGGTAGCGTGAGAGCTCAACACTGCAGATGGTGTCTGACATGGAGCGCAGTCTTGTGGGACTGAGCCCTTAGCCTATGAAGTCTGCACTAACCCTGGGTTATTAGTGTCAGAATTGAGTTCGATTATAGGACACCCAGTGGGTGTCTGTAGAGTTGGATAATTTGTTGGTGCGGAAAAAAACTCCACACATCTGGTCACAGAAGTGCTGGAAATACTGAGCGAGGGCTTACAGAAAAACAGCTGGCTTTTCCTACAGAGCAGATAAGGCATCAGGGGTGTCAAGAGCTTCCACGGCATGCCCAAGGTCATGCAGGACAAGAAGTAGAGCAGGCAGCCCCAGGAGAGGGGCCGTGTTCTATCTTTAGGTCTGGCCTGCCTGCTGGGGTAATGCCCGCAGTAGCTCAGGAGAGGAGGAGAAGCCGTGGAGGGGAGGGAGCAGAGCGGCAGAGGGAAGCACTCACCTCTGGAAGGAGGCCATGCGGGCTTTCAGAGCCTGCACAAAGGGGAGGATCCAGTGGTGGCGCAGAACTACACTCTGGGACAGGCTGAGGTGGAACGCTTCCATCCTTACCAGGCGGGGGACATATGTCTGGGCATGGGGGAGCAACACGTCAAGCAGATCCAGGAACTCCTCCTTGGCTTCATCTGGAGGAGAAGAGTAAAGAGGGCAGGCCGTTCTCTCAGCCAAGGTGCCATGGCTGAATGAAGAGGCCCAGAAGGCAGACGGAGGTCCTTATTACTCTGGGTTTGGGGAGAAAATTACTTGGACAGCAGTCTATGTCTATGTCTTCTAATATAATTTTATTTTATTTAATTTATTTATTTTTTTAGACGGAGTCTCACTCTGTCGCAGAGGTTGGAGTACAGCGGCACCATGTTGGCTCACTGCAAACTCCGTCTCCTAAGTTCAAGCAATTCTCCTGCCTCAGCCTCCCGAGTAGCTGGGATTACAGGTGCCCACCACCACACCCAG